TATATTAGCCTTAACAGTTTTTCTTGTTCACAGAAATAAACTCTATCATGGAGTTAGGTGATTTCTTCATATATTTTCTAAAAGAAGTAAATAAAATATTGCTCTAAAAGTTTTATCTTTTCATCACTTTTGAATTTTCAATTTTTTCCCCCAACATTTTGAAAACTTCTCCAAATTAGTATTGTTTTCCAGGAAACCAAGAGTGGATCACTCTCTGAGTTTCATTTTCTTATTCCTTCAATAAACATGTCTGATTTTCTAATATATTCAAGACAACATTGCAAAGTGATATACGCAATAGTCAGAGCCCTCAAGGAGAATCCAATTTGAGAAGATAAGATAGGTATGTAAGTACCTTTCATAAAATGTAAAAAATGTGTCATAAGAAATGTCTAGCCCTGCCCAGGTGGCTTAGTTGGTTGGAGCATTGTCCCATGTACTAAAATGTTGCGGGTTTGATTCCCATTAGGGCACATACCTAGGTTGGGGGTTTGATCCTGGTCAGGTGCTCACAGAAAGCAACCAATTGATGTTTCTCTCGTGCATCAGTGTTTCTGTATCTCTCCCTCCCCACCCTCCTTCATCTCTCTAAAATCAATAAACATATCCTTGGGTGAGGATTTTTTTAAAATGTCTAAATAAAGGGCTATAGGCAGAAGAATATTCACATGGCTATTCACCAAAATGCTAACAGGGGTTATTTCTGGGGATAGAGGTTTTTCTTTTTCTTTTAATTTATTTTTTTATTTAAGTATAGTTGGTATAGAATCTTACATTGATTATACTAGTTTCAGGTGTACAATATAGTGATCCAAAGTTTTTTTTATTTTTTAAAAAATTACTTATTTTGAGACAGAGAGAGAGAGAGAGAGAGACAGAGAGAGAGAGACAGAGTGATGACAATTTGTTGTTCCACTTATTTATGCATTCATTGGTTGATTCTTGTATGTGCCCTGACCAGGGATCAAATCCGCAACCTTGGCCTATCGGGATGATCTCTAACCAACTGAGCTACCTGGCCGGGGCATGATATTTTTATACCTTAGTGATTACCACCTAATTCTAGTAATCATCTGTCACTATGTAAACTTATCACAATATTATTGACTATACAAGTATTTCCCTTCTCCTTTTTATCCACCTACACCCTCTCTCTCCTGGTAACCATCCCTTTGATTGGGGGTAGGCGTTTCAATAATTAAAAAATTTTTTGTTTTGCTTATTGGAAGGTTCTAAAGCTCTAAAAATAAATATGTATTACTTGTGAAATAGAAAGGGGAAACATAATTGATTTTTAAAAGTGCTATGGGAGTTCAAAAGAGAAACAAATTTCTTCTCATAAAAGTGTTGGGCAAGACAGGCTATAGAGAGGACATTTAAACTGAAGGCTGAAGGGATGTAGCTGGGGTGAGGAGAAAGTGCATTTTGCATAGACAGAACCACATTAAACCAAGCATGAATCAAGAAGATACACAGTAACTGTGGGAAAGAGGACTAGCTCATCTTGTCTGGAGACTAGTGTGTGGAAGCTAGGATAGAAAATGAAGCTTATTGCTAGGGCTTGGAACCCCTTAGTTGCCAAATAAGGAGCCTAACACTTCACAACTGAGGCATCTTTGGAGAGGACTAGAACAAACACATCCAGTATGCTAGGAAAGGCTGGGGGCGGCGGGGGGGTGGGGGAAGGCAGACAATTCTGTAACAGGAGGTAGGATTAGATCAAGATATGCAGGCAAAATAGAGTATTGGCAGGCTATGGTGGTAAGAACAGCTGTAACCTTAGCAATCAGCAGTTAGTATCTCATGGAAGTCCCTGGGAGAAGATTGGAAATAGGGACACAGCAAATTGGCAGTATATAAATAGGCAAAGTTCCTGAGACTGGAGGGGTAGTTTTTACAGCAAGGTGATGTCATAGCAGCGGGGCTACCATTCAAGAAAGGGATCATTCCATTCTTAAGAAAAACAGAGACAGCAAGGGGTGGAGAGATTAAAGAGAAAGAAATCAGGTACAGAGACTGGAAAATATACACAGGAAGAGGGATAAAGATCCTGAGTCAATACCTTTTGAGGCAGAGATTTCTTATAAAGCAGGTCCTGAGAGCTGAAGCTGAAGACTGAAACTATGAGCTGGCCAGCTGTGTCTTTTCTAGAAAAATATAGAAATAATACCTTAATTAATAATATAAAAATATGTATATACCTACCAATTTTCTTTCTTGGCTTTGCAAATATTTGGATTAGATTCTTTATAGACCAATTTTGAAAAAAGCATGAACCTTAAGCTAGTACTAAATTGTCATTTTCTTTCTCTTAGTTTCAACTTTATCTACTATTACTTCACAACTCTAGGTTTATCTTGAAGGCCTACATAGACCCCCATTTTATTTTATTTTATTTTTTCCTAGAGTCAGGGATCTCCCATGCCTGATCAATCTGGCTGCCTTCAGTGGTAGATACAGCTTGACGCTTAGGCCTCACTCCAGCAAAGCCTTTAATTAACTTTCAGGAAGCCAAGCATTAAGTACTGGCTGAGCCTCCCAAGTCTCATTTTCATGCAATATGGTGAAGGTTTTCTTCTCTTTCCCCTTGCCCATACAGTAGTGTGGGCTCTGCCACTAATGATGTGATCTCTAGCAAGTCCCAAACCTCTCTGAGCCTGAGACTCATCTGCAAATTACATGCACAAGTTGAATTATCATTTAAAAGGTATGACAGCCCTGAAATTCTAAGATCCTGACCCAATAATAAATAAAATTTGTTAATAAGTATAATTAATTCTTTTTTTTAGTCTTATTTATTTATTTTTAGAGAAAGGGGAAGGGAGGGAGAAAGAGAGAGTGAGAAATATTGATTGGTTGCCTTTTGCACACCCCCGAATGGGGACCTGGCCTGCAACCCAGGCATGTGCTCTGAGTGGGAATCGAACTGGTGATCTTTCAGTTTGCAGGCTGGCACTCAACCCATTGAACTACACCAGCCAGAGAAATAACTGTAATTAATTCTTAACGTTTCAGAATATGGAGTTGACAGAGAAAAGGCTCTAATGGGTAAAACTGCTGGAGACAACTGGGATAAAAGATATTTGGATAGTATTTATTTTTTTAGTTTTTCATTTTTAGATGCCCATTATCCCCAAAATTTATGTAGGGAAATTAATTAGGCTGTCTACATTTAAAAACCGTAGCAATTCTAAAATGCTTTACAACCCTGAGGCTTGAGTTAACAGAACTTCTTTTTTTTAAATTCTTACCTGAGGATATATTTATTGATTTTAGAGAGAGATAAAAGGAAGGAAGGGGGACAGAGTTGGGGGGAGGAAGAGAGAGGGAGGGACAGAGAGAGAGAGAGCAAGAGAGAGATCGGCCCTGACCTGGGATGAACCTGCAACTTAGGTATGTGCCCTGACCAGGGATGGAACCTGAAACCTTTTGATGTACAGGAGAAGGTCCAGCTAACTGAACCACCAGGCCAGGGCAACAGAACTTATTTTGAAAGAAAGAATCAAGCTAAGACAAGGTATTTCTGAGGTGCTCACTGTTGACTGAGCTGATAACGAACCTGTGAAGCACTGACCATAGCTAATTTTGTGATTCCCGTAGCTAGCCTGCTTCAGAACTGTTAGCATTACCAGAAGACATTCCCAGCCGAAAGAGTAACGTTGAAGTGGCAAGACTAGAAAGAGTGAGCCCAGAAACAAACCGAGGAGCGAAGCGGACTCGAAAAGACGGGCATCTTTAGCAATGAAGCTTTAGGGGTTGCTGTGAAGGACGCATGTAAAACAAGTCCTTAAAAAATAGGCAACTGAAAGATGATTACCCTAACTGCCTGAAAGACTCATTGTAATTACGTATCAAAGACACAAACATGGTGGTGGTGGTGGTGGAGTGTAAAAATGTCGTTTTTACTTATTTCTCAATGCCTGTTTCTGGCTTTTCAGACGTCTCGGGATTTTCTCCAGTGTCAGGTTCACCTCTCTGCCATCCCAGCTGCGCTTCGGAGGGATGAAGCACATGGAAAATGGTAGGGCAGAGAGGAAGAAGGGGAAAAGGGAGGGGCACACAAGACTAACGGGAGAGAGGGAACGGGTGTGAGGCGTGTGAAAAGGCAGTGCAAGAGGAGGCAGCGTCGGGTGCGGGTGGCCTCACTAGTCTTCAGTTTTGGACCCCGGTGGTTCGATCTTGGGGGAAGAGAGAGGACCTGCCTCTTCTGTGCAGCGCTCTGGGGGCTCTTCGTCTTCCAAGGCCTGGAGCGGGTTCTCAACGTAGATCATAGCACCGAAGGCAGCACTTGAGGGGGGGGAGGGGTTCTGCCCGGCCCAGGTGTTCCTCAGCCTTCCTTTCCTCGCCCTGGAAGGCCGATTACATCACGCCACCCAGAGCAGCGTGGCCAGTTTTTTCCAATTCAAATCTCTTGAACGCCAACTGTCGCTCCTTAGGTAAGACTTAAGCTTTAATGTTTCCCCTGTCACGACTAGCCCACGAGGGAGGGCACTCCGGGGTGCGTCTCGTTTTAGCAAGGAGGCTATTAAATGACCCCGGGAGCCGTTCTTTTTTCTCCCGTTTAAGAGGGTTAGCTATGCAGGAACACAGGGCGATCTAAGCCCGTCGCTGCGACAAGACCAGATCGACACACAACGCCCGGAACTTCCCTCAGCGAATCTGAGGGGGCGTCCCCAGGAGGAAAAAAAGGGGTTTTTTTAAGGGGCTACTCCAGCATGCCGCGCTTGCGCAGTCACTAGGCAGCACCACCCCCGCGAGGCGTGCCTGTAACCCGGGGCACCCTATCAGGCGGCCACAGGGAGCGCGCCCGCGGCCTCGCCCTGTCTCGGCCTCTCTCGCCCTTCCCCTCCCGCTTCTTCGTCGGCCCTTAGACCGAGGCGCGTAGACTCAGAGCCCCTCCCCTCGCCCTCGCGTGCCTCCACAACCTCTGGCGCGCGTGCGCAGAGGTGGACCGCAGAGGGCGAGGGCGGGAGGGAAGGGCGGGTGTACGTCCTTGCGTGCGTCTCAGGCAGCGCGCACGCCGGCGTGAGAGGGCACGGGGAAAAGGTGGCTCTGGCCCGGGCGGCTTGGCTTCCTGTGGCTATGTAGCTGAGCTCGTCTGCTCGGGGTCCTGCTGCCATCGCCGCGTCGTCACGCGGAGTTTCTGCTCGGGAGAGAGGCTGTCCTCACACCCGCTGCACTCTCTCGACGGCAGAGCTTGCTCGCTCGCCCGTGGGAGCGTCCCGGCCGAGCAGCCCTGAGGGGGGAGGGGAGGCCATTTTGTCCCGACCGACTCCCCGGAACCGGGCAGAGCGGCTGGGAGAGGCTGCGGAGCTGCGGTCGCCGCCCTCGGAGGCACCGGACGCCGCCACCATCGGTGCTTCCTCGGCGAGGCCGTTCGTAGGTTGCCCGCACCCTCTCGAGTCCTCCTTTTTCCCACGCTTCCTTGGTCCTCCGGCCTGAGAACGCCCGAGTGAGGAGTTGGCCACAGTGAGAAGGACCGATCCCTTGGGGCCGCCGGCGGCGAGCGCCTGAGCCGCTCCTCCCAATGGCGAAGAAGACGTACGACCTGCTTTTCAAGCTGCTCCTGATCGGGGACTCGGGAGTAGGGAAGACCTGCGTCCTTTTTCGTTTCTCGGATGATGCCTTCAATACCACCTTTATTTCCACCATAGGTAAGATCTGTGGGAGGATGGTGTATGGTCTCTTTGGTTGCAAACCGTTTCTTTTACTCCAGACATCTTGCTGCTTCCCGTAATATACGCCTTTGTTTCAGTGATTCCGATTCTAGGCGACAGACCCAAGTTGCTCTTTGAATCGAGCTTATTGGGGCGGGGTCTTCCCATGCTTTCTATCTGGTCTTTTGCTTTCCAGTCTCCTACTCTGCTCAGTGCCTGTTGTTACAAAATGTGCAGCATTAACAGAATTCTGTTTCTTAAGCGACTGGACTGGCTTTTTCCCCATTTGTGGGACTCTAATAGATGTCGGTATTTGTAAGGAATTAATTTTAGTGGTTGGGATTGAAGCACTAATAGTCATTGGGTAAAGGCCTGAGTTATACTTCAGGGTAAAGAGATTCCATATGGTCATAACTTCGAGTAAACTTGAGGGTTTGTGTCAGGAATAATTAAAGCAAATTAGAGGGGAAAGTGAGTTGGGCCGCGTTGACTAATCCATTGATGTGTCAAACAATCGGAGGCTCCTCGTGCCTGGGGTGGGACTCTGTGGCATGTTTGCCTCAACTGTGCTTTCTGAGACATCAACAGAAGCAGCAATCTAAAGGGAGATGATCAGTATTTTTTTTCTTTTTCTTGCTTTCTTTTCTTTCTTTCTTTTCTTTATCTCAAAGCCGAAAGACTGAAGTTCTCCCTTCTCTTTTACTTTGCTCTAGAATTTACAAGTATTTTGCCAGTCATAGCTCTAGGACTTCAGTACTTTCACCTTGTGTTTCAGAATTGCTTAGTGTGGAGGTAAGAACTGAAGATTGACCTTTTTAATCGGTTTCCTGTTTAGGTTTTGAAAAAGGAAGGCTGTAGGAAAGCCCCTTTTGACTCTGGTTAGAAAAGTTAGTGGCATTAGCACAAATTGTGTTAAGTGAATTGTGTGTGGAACCTGCCCTCAGTAAATACCTTAAAGGACACATGGTTGCCTGTGTCACTTGCAGGCCAGCACTCAGCTTTGGGGCAGTGCGATGGAACTAATTTTTTAAAGTGTAACTAGTTTGATAATCAAATGATTTGTAGAAGTAACCACAGTCTTCTTTGAGCCCTGGAAACTGTTAAAATTAATCTGATTTCAAACATTTTGTATTGTAGCATTACTGAAATTGTTGATTTGGATTTCTTGTGATGTATTAGCTACTTAATTCAGTCTCATAAAACAAATTGTACTGAAGTTGAATTGGGCAAGGATCATTTTAAATAGATTTTTATTTTACGTGCCTTTTTTTGGTAAGAGGGAACCATCCTAATCATTGTTGCCTGAGTATTATACTACTCTCTTGACCTATCATAAATTTGGTGAAACTTAGGACTTGTTTCTGCTTGTGAGTTTGCACTTCCTACCACGAAGTTTGTTTTTAATTCCACTTTTAAGCTGTAGCTGGGTGGATCCCCTGGTTAGGTAGTTCAGCAAATATTTATTGAGTACCTAATGCGAGGCGCTGTTTTAGGTACTGATGATAAATGGTGAATATAATAGACCCCTTTAGGAGCCATCTAGTGAAGACAATCACAGTGGAGTGTGGGAAGTGCTACCGCAGGGGTAAGTATAGGGAGGTGGCGTGATTAGCTTCAGTCATAGGAAGTTTGCGTTGGCTTACATGGAGATGATCTCTAAAGTGAAGCCTGAAGGAAGGATAGGAATGGGACCAAAGAGGTGGGATAGGGCCTTTCTGGGAAAGGGAGTATAAAATAAACCTGTATAAGATCAGGGATTTAATTCATGTGGTCAAATTTAACCTGCCCTTGAGAGGGGTGGGGTGGAGAGCAGGAAGCGAAGCACTATCTACCCACCCCACTCTTTTTGTAATGAGTACACGCTCAGGTAAAACACAGTCCTGTAAGATAATAACATAATATTTTTGTGTAGTTCTTTCACTTGGGAAAATGTGTGGTGGTTTTGGATAAAGCCTGCTGAGTTGGAGTCCTGGTTCTGCAGATTAGTAGTTGCGGTACTTTGGCAAGTAACTTAACCTCTGTCTGCTTCAGTTTCTTCTTCAGTGTTAATAATAGTGCCTACCACATAGGGTAGTTGAGAGGATTTTATGGGTCAGTGAGAGTAAAGCGCCTAGCATGGTGCCAGGCACATTGTAGGAGCACAGTGCATTATTAGCTAAATATAGAATATGTGACCCTTCTGCTGCTCAAGGGTGGCAGAATAAGTTACTTTATGGATTGACTGTTCTGCACACAGTGGCCACCCAAATATTTGAAGGTGATCTGTTGAATAAATTTCTCTTTAGATTCTAAGATTTTCATATTTTGATACAAAAATATTTGATAGGTCAGATTCTTTTTGTTATATGGTATGTTGAACAATGTAAGCTAAAAAATGAATAAATATGTAAGTATAAAATTCTGAGTACAGTTCCAACATATGTATTAGCTCTGTGTGCAGGCTTAGAAGTATACTGTTGCCTTAAATCAGCGCTTTCCAAAAGAAATATAATGTGAGCTATAAAGCTAATATTTTTTAGTAGCCACATTTAAAAAGTAAAAGAAGAATTTAATAATATACTCTTGCTCACTTTATTCAAAATGTTTTATTATGTAATCAAGATGAAAAATTGTTGATATTTTACATTCTTTATCTCCAGTGTGTATGTTATACTTAGAGTATTTAAATTTAGGCACAGTTTAAGTGCTCAATAATGTGGCTGTTGGCTACCATACTAGAAGTGCCTGTCTAGATAGTTTAAACTAGCCATTTGTCTAATGTGCAGAGGACTAGAAATACTTTGAATACTTTCAAATACTGTTTTTAGGACATTTTAAATTTTATCAGTTGACTAGGGTGGTTCTTATTTTATTTTTTAAATTTTTTTTAATGTTTTATTGATTTACTTTTAGAGGGGAAGGGAGGGAGAAAGGGAGAGAAACATCGATGGGTTGCCTCTTGCATACCCTCAACTGGGGACCTGGCCCATAACAGAGGCATGTGCCCTAAGTGGGAATCAAACCTGCGATCTTTCAGTTCTCAGGCTGGCTCTCAGTCCACTGGAGCCACACCAGCCAGGGCTATTTTGCTCTTTCAAAAAAAATCTAAAGCATTCTCTAATTATACATGATAGTGAAATTTGAGTTGTGAGGTTAGAATAGAAGTAAGTAGAGAGAGTGGGAGAGAGAAAAAGAGGAAGAGAAACATCCATCTGTTGCCACCCTGACCAGGAATTGAACCAGTGACCTTTCACTTTGCAGGAGGACTCAACCAACGGAACCATACTGGTCAGGGCCAGTGATCTTTGTCTTGTTGTTGTTGTTGATAGATGCTAAGCACCTAGAAGAGTCCCTGCATTTCATGGATGCACTATAAATAATGATTTAAATAATGAAAGCAGGCAGACAGGCAGAGAACTTACATGTACAACCCATGGATGTGAACTTGTGGGGGGTGCTGATGGGAGGGCAGGTGGTGGGGAATAAAGGGGAGAAAAAAATGGGACAACTGTAATAGCATAATCAGTAAAATATAGAAAGCAGACAGACAGGTAATACAACCAGGATTCTCTATTCTAGAATTGGGGCTCGTTTTATTTTAATATTTTCCTGTTTACCTACTTTTTGAGCATTATATATGTGATACAGATTGGGAGCAGATTTTACTTAAGAATATCAGCTGTTTGGGTAATAGAGTAATTTTAGAGTAAAATTCAAAGATTGAGAAGTATTTGATAAAGAGAGTTACGGGTTTTGGATAAGTACATTTCAGTGGTTGATTTGGCCCTAACCCTCTTGTCAAGAAAGCGTTACTCTTTAGTGAGAATGGTAACTACATGGACTGTGGACTTGTCCCAAAGCAGAAATTTTGTGAGATGTTCAACTGAATGTGCTACCTTTTGGTATTATTAATCCTTCCACCCCTAGACTTATTATTTTTTCTATAGAGAATATCCTTCATTGGGAAATGGAGTCTCTGGGCTTGGTGTAGGAAATTAAATTGGTAAAGGCTCTTGCTCCTAGGACAGGCATAATGAATGCATCCTTTTTGTTGTCTTTCTGAGTGTTTTACTAAACTTTGAAAGAGTAGGATGGTTCCAGTAACCTGCATTTAAGAATTGCAGTTGATGAAGTTGAACCGAGCCCATATTATATGGAGAGGCTGCTTTTTAGAGAAATGAGCAAAACCTTTGTCATATTAAATGTGTCTGTGCTTTGCTATGATACACATACAGCAAGTGGCTCATGCTTCAGGAATGTCAGAGTGCCTGAGTAATTTCTTTCATTCAAACACATATTTTTAGGTTTGATTAAAAGCTATCCAGGCAGTTTCCAAAGAAGATACACAAATGGCGAGTAAGAACATGAAAAGGCGTTCAACATTGCTAATCATTAGAGAAATGTAAGCCAAAACCACTATGAGATGTCACTTCACACCCATTAGGATGATTTACTTATCAAAAGTGAATTTTGTCATCCTGTTCAAATCACTGCTTTCAGTTTTTTGGGGATATATACCTAGAAGTGGAATTGTTAGATCATATGGTAATTCTATTTTTAATTTTTTTTTTTTGAGAAACCACCATATTATTTTCCACAGTGTCTGCACTGGTGTACATTGCTATTAGCCCTGCACCAGGGTTTCAGTATCTCCACATCACCACCAACACTTGTTATTGTTGTTGAGCAGCATTATTCACAGTTGCCAAAATGTTGGAACAACCCAAATGTTCAAGGGATTAATGTATATGCAAAAGGTAGTATATATGTATGATAGAATATTATTCAGCCTTAAAAAGAAATGAAAATCTGATATATGCTGCCACAGTGTTTGAAAACAGTGTGCTAGGTGAAACAGGCTAGACACAAAAGGGCAAATATTGTATGAAATAACTGATATGAGGTACATAGAAGAGACAAATTTATAAAACAGAATAATGGTTACCAGGTTCTGGAGCCCGGGTCATGAGGAGTTATTGCTTAATGGATACAGCATTTTAGTTAATGGGGAATTACTG